AAGACTATAGGGTCCAAAGCATGTCGGTGACAGCGACTAAACCACTGCACCACCGCCACGGTGTATTTGAGAATGCATTACTCAGTATGTTCAAGTGCTTCATTTCACCAACATGTGAATAATGAGCTGAGTTACCTACGTGTCACGGGTGATGTAATAATTCCTAATTTTCTAAAGCTGTATCGGAGTTGTTGTTTCTTAATGGTCAGCATTTGTATATCGGTTAGTCATATAACTTCAAGCGTTTTTCCCTCAACGATGCGATTTGTCTAATCACAAAATGTGCGGTCCCATTCATGTGGCGTCAGATTTCAGCTGCTCGTGGAGAATCAGGGCTTATGCACCGTCCTCGAAAATGGATTGCTCGTGACGCATCCATCGACACAAGTGAACTTCGTTGTCACAATGGCCCTGGACCGTTGGTTTTCACCATTTTCCAACCCGAATCCGCCTCTTTCAGTAACCTGACATCCGTACACTTTGAAAAAGTAAGTACCGCCTTAGTTGTCACACAGGAAGTTTCTTCAGTGCTCGATAACTTCGTTTCGCTTCCTCGTTGATCTTTCTGTATCGACAAAAGTACTGCCTGATGTGCGTATGGGCAATAGCAACGAACTTCTCACACTATGTAATCAATATTTGAGGTATGGATTAAACATTCAAATGTATAAAAATGGGTATTTCGATTGCTTCACGAGATTCATCTTTTTACTTCTGCCCGCACAGGTTGGCATATCGCACATGGTGCTGAGCAGAGCTCCACATCTGAAAAACATTACACTGGAGAATTGTCCCCACCTTCAAGGTATTATCTTTGCTCCTCGGGACGACTCATCGAACATGGATGTGGTTCCTGCTCTGCGACGTATACGTGTTCTACGGTGCCCAAAGTTTGCCATTTATAATCTGTTGAATGCAGTCGCCAGCCTCTATCCGGTGCACGACGAGAACATCTCCATTACCTATCGGTAAGTTTCATACTAACTATTTCAGTTCGTTCTCAACCCATTTCATTGCTTTGATCACACAGCGGAGGACGTTGCACCATGCAGACGTATTCATCTTATGGTTACTCAGAGTTGTACTTTAATAGATGTTCACCGTCAGGCGTATCATCCATGCTTCTCTTGTATCAGGCGCTTATTTGGGTTGATCCATTTGTGTGTTAAACCGCTTTTCCCTTTCCCTAAATTCAGTCCGTTTGGACATTACGATGAACAGGTTGAACGCGCATTGTGGAACCGAGCGCATCATGCACATGTGCTCATATCTCACGATTACAAACAACATGAAAGCGAACGAGGTATGGAGGAATTCCATTCTAGCTTCGACCAGCTCTTCCGTGAGGTCATCAATTTTGCCGAGTACGTTTCTTCACTAAATGACTCATTCAGATAGTATTTATCGTGTTTTTAACCTTACGTAACTAGTATGTACTTTTTTGCGTAGTATTCAGAATTTGAACCGCATGCATTCTACCAACTTCTAAATCTCAGTATGGCCGGGGGTGGGTGTCTAGGATTGCAGCTGGTCACCGTTCCCTCGCACCTCGAGAAATGTTCCCATAGGACCGACCTTCTCAAACAGTTTCCGCTGAGAAGCCCTGCTCACAGCCTTCTCGTGGCGGTGTTTTCCCACTGAAGTGAAGAGGAAGAAAAGCCGACACCTGGAGCTGTAACCGGGTTGGTGGACCACTAGTAGTTCAGCTTGGGATGGGCCAAAAACCCCGATTCCAAACCAACCAAAGAGCGTATGTTCCGATGAACTGGACACCGCTTCCCGACGGATTGCGGTTTTCACACCGGCTCACTGCCTTGCGGATCAGGCTTTGGTTAGCAAAAGGCTCCATTTGTAGATTCCTCAGGAGAATTCACCTACTT